ATCGACTAGTTTTACGATGAAAAGAAAAAAAAAAAATTGGAAAAACAAACAACGATGATGACCGGATAGTCCTTTAGTCATGTAACTCCTTTGAAATGGTCCGAGTCGATGGTGATGATCGAAACAAAGATTGGATAAACAAACGAAAAAAGATTACATAAGCGCTAAGTAAATAAATAAAAAAAAAAAAAAGAGTCGCATCCTGTTGTATCTAGTGCTTAGAGGATTTTGATGCGTACGATCGATGAAAACAAAAGGGAAGCATGTATGATAATAATGATATGTATATGTGTACGATCGAGTCGCATCGAAACGAGTGAAAGAAGAAAATAAAGACAGAAAAAAAAATTATGTTGGTCGCTTTTTTTGCTACTTTGCCTCAGTTTTTCTCTGTATTTTGTCCTTTTCAGCAAATTACGCAGCAAAAAAGGGGAACAAGTAAGTACGAAAGTAAACAACGCAAGAACCATCGAAAAACCAAGGGTACACCGAGTGATCGGCCATTGTTGGCATATGTGCTTGCAAGTCAATCATTCGATCGAAAATGTATAATCAACGCCGATGCTCAGTTAAAACATGTACCGTGTAAGCAACATACGTACCGACATAATGTGTAATATTTGCTCCAATTGCGCCTTATCTTATCGTCCTCGAGCCACCCATTTTTTCGCACCACGTCTCATGTGTGATTTTCGCGCTTTTAAAATCCCCACTCGATGCCATTGCTCGGTTCTTCTTTTCTTTTCAGAAAACGCGAGCCAATTGGCTTTCCGATGACAGCAAAAAGGTGTCTCTTATCGTGGCGAACGACACTTGGGTAAATTTTGCAATCCAACGCGTAAACGGCGAAACACGATGGAGGAAAACACGCTGATTATTTACAATCGCGGGCTATCGGCATTTGTCCCGGGATAATTGAGCGAAAAGGCACGCGCCCTCGCACACGTATGCATACTCGAACTTTGACGCGCCCATCGGAGATATCGATGTTTTTACTTTTCGAGAAGAGCTTGGCCGAGAGCAAACAATACGTGGGTACAACAACATCAAAGGGACCGCCGCGAGCATTTGGCCGTCTTATCGCGCTGTAATCCAGATAAATCCAGAGTAGACGCGCGCTCCAACTTTTTCACCAAGGAGATAAAGCTCTGTCAACAAAATAAGTTGTCGAATACACCACCACGTTTCAACAAAAAAAATCCTCTAATCATGTTACTCTTTTTTTTTTTCTTCTCATTTTCCTTCACTTTCCATTGTATGGCACAAAGTGCAAAGTTTCCAAAATGCTTATACAGAGCACCTACACTTTCATCCGTTGAATATTCAACTCTCGTCTTCGGAGAGAGAGAGAAAATTGAGGGGGTAGAAAAGCAGTGCAGACGCGCCTAATTCGAGGGCCTCGGCTCTGCGGGAGCCTCCAGCTCATTAAGATCGCTAATGTCAGGTTCGCGTCCTCGCTGGTACACATGTGAATTGTACGCGCGTTCGGCAAAACGAAGAGGGCAAGTGGTGGAGGAAAAAAAAAATGGTCCCCAGAGAGAGGAAAGACAATGGACGAAAATGAGAAACGGCAGAACAATGCACCAATTTGTTGATCCGCATGTATAAGCGCGAGAGGATGATGCGCGTCGGAAGCGCACGCATGTATGTATAGTATGTATAAGACGTAACATTTGTGCTTTCTCTTGGCGAGAGAGAAAATCGCTAAGCGCACTTGTATACATATACACGCATGAGGTATTTTCTTCCATTTACTTATAATGTATGTCCATGCATGTGCACGGCATAAATAATATGGGAGTCGAGGAGGGACTATTTCTCGCGGAGCGTATATTATAGGTACCCACATCTATGTACATGTATGTGGTTATTGGAGATGAAAGGCAGAAAGAGAGAGAGAGTCGAGACTAGCAGTCATATCGCTTATATGCTGCTGTTGATGCAGTGGAGACTGCGGCTTGTTCGACAAGTCGTTTCAATCAGCGTTGCATATACATTATGCAAATCACCCGCGCGTAAGTGAGTGCAGCCTTCCTTTGCTGAATATACATGTATATATATATATATAAAGGCACGAGTACTGGGATAATGGTATGTGAGTCTCTCAATTTCACGTATTTGTAGGGTACATAAATGTATTTCGGAGGGATATACATAGTAACTTCGTTTGTTTGATAGTAAGTTATGAGGTTGTTTACGCGGAGCTTTCGAAAGCTGCTCACTAGCTAGGCTCGTTATGGAATTTTAATAAGAATTTTGATGGGGAATTTTTTGTCTTCTTCAATAGGTAACATCATCGAGCCATCTACGTTCAAGCTATTGTTTTCCGTTTGAGTCGAGGTTTTTTTCCTTGCTCTTTTGCTGTTGTTGGTCCATTTCGAGACATATAACCGTCAAGTTCGACACAGATAAGTTTATAGTTATCTAATAATGTTGAGTTACCCTTTGTTAAAACTTACTCGTAAAATGTCCTTTGTCACAGTACGTTTATAAACAATAGGCATGTAAAGTTTCGAATCGATCAGCACGTGTTCTTTTTCTTCCAAAGTCTTTGAAAGACTGGCGAAGTATCTACCTGCCGTAACAACAAGTTAAGTCAACTCATCTATTATAGGTATTGGTATAACTTAAATGAAGACACTCAATTTACAGCAACAGCCGGCTAAAAGGAGTAGTGGACGGTTAGAAGTAACTCTTACCTCTTCGGGCGATGTAGCTGTCTGTACGGTTGCTGGATACATATAATGCCACCGGTGAGGAAACATCTCTCGGTTTCCCGAGAAATATAGCCCCTTTTTACCGATGCGGGAGCCAGCCCTGCACCACCAGGGCACATAGGTTTCTCCTTCGCTTTCGCGAGAGAGTAGGTTAAAGAGCCGAGCCGAGAGAAGGAGGAGGAGGAGGAGACTGTTTTATTGACGGGATATGGCGCGATTGTTTTACAGTTTGTAATTTACTCTGAGCAAACACCGACGGGGCACTTTAACGCTCTCGGCGGGACAATGCGCGTCGATCAATGGGAGCGCGATACCGGACCGCGGCCAGTATTTTGCAGAGGTGATGGAAGAATACACCGTATACATGTTACGCTCACTCGGAATCATCGGGGGAAATTTCGTGCTTTCGCAATGCACGTATCTCTTTATCCTTTCGTAATCCATGTCCCCCCCCCCTTTTTCTTTGCCCCACTTGTGTCGATCCTTCCAGTCGCGTGGTGGATGATGAATATTTAGGAAGTGCGTCCTTGTATTTCACAATCGAAAAAATCTTGCAATAATGACACACTTCTTGTAGCAACTGTGAGGATAATATCGCTGCTGTTAAATAATTTTTTTGGCCTGATAAAAGGGTTTTTTTTTTTAATTGACTGCAATAAAGAAAGACTATTAAATATATATGTTGAAAAATACCAATTCAAAAGTGACATAAACTTGAAATTTAGTTAGATTGAAGATAGAGCTGTAAGGACTCGATTTATTTTTTCGATATTTAATAACAGCTATTGATGATCAAGTAACTACAGTTTTATTTTCAAGCTGAGGTGATAGCTTGGTCTTCCTTTTTTGGAGTGTTCAACATCCGAGAACGTTTTCTTGAAAAAATAAAATTCCATAATCTTTGTATAATAATTATATAAAAATAAATTTTATAGGATGATCACGAAGTTTCTCAGGACATGTAGCTACTCAATGATCAAAAATCAATGGATGCGATGAGCTATACGTCAGTCAATTCGCAAAATTACGCAACCCGTTCATAAGCATCTAATCTAATAATTTTTTTTTTTTTTTACTTAATCTTTTACTTTATGCATACGTTCAATCAAAGTTGCAAGGCTTCACGGGTGTATATTTATACATACAACACACACACAATTTATAGGTACATAAGATAAACCCTATTGAAAGAAGCGAATCGTAAGACATACCATGTTAAAATTCAATTAACGCGCTTGAGGCACATCTTCGTCGACGTCATCTTCGTTAGCGCTTACAATCCAGAAAATAAGAAGCCAAGAGTGCTGCTGCAATTAATAATAATAATGGCACCGATAAATGCTTCTTACGGACGAGCTCTCACCACCGCAGGCTTTCTTGTGTACTCGTGGGGCCTTATCCGGCGTGCGTGTGCGTGCACTTCTCTAATTTTTTTCCCAAGTATCGAAGATTGACACGGGTATGTGTGTGTGTGTGTAATAGAGACGACGATCGGCATTTACTTAACTCTACTGGGAAGGCACGCCTTCACTTGCGGAAGTGCGCTGATGCCATAATGTCCCAACCCCTTTTTTGCACCTTTTTTTATGACTGATGCACGCGCGAGCACCTTCAATGCCCATAGTGCACAGGCAACTTGAGATATATGCTACCTGATCGGCTTGACCGTGGTGATTTCAATGATGCATGGCTATATACGGTTTGTTTTGTGAGCTACTCGTCTTTGACACTATATATATTCAGGCGTAGGGTTGTTGGGGTATTTTACAAGGAGCTTGAATTTTCGTTGATTACATCTCACTAGAAGCTTGAGTTAATGACTTGAAAAACTCCCAAAATCTTTTGAAATTTGAAGTAAAACAATGTCTGTTAGGGTCTTTAGTTGTTTATGAAAGACTTTGGAAGTCTAG